AGTACACTGGAAGATCCGGCGCAGATGTTCGTAGATTATTTACACAGAAACGTGTACCAGATTAATCTTGAGCCAAGATTTCGTACAACCCCATGGAGGACAATGAAAAAATTGAATATTATGCTCCCTTGTTTGGGAAATCCCCTCTTTAAATATAGCCATGCTTGTTATTATCCACTTTGTTATTCTTAACAAGGCATCGGACCCGGCTTTCTGCAACGCTTGCTCTTTAATTTCCCAAATTCGTTCTCTACGGGTACTCAAGTAATATTGATCGTCATACAATCTCTACAAAACACTCAGAGAGCTGGTGTCTTTCGTTACCTGATTCCGCCACTTCAGATGTCGTTACCACTACATTCCATTATGATCGTGCATAGGTAGCCAGACGCGTTCATGTTTCATAGGGTGGTTTCATTTTATTTTCTTCCATTGTTCATTTTGAGTCTCCGAAACATCGTGCGAAATTTTCGCTTTGGGGCTAAGTACACACCAAAAAGAAAGATTGATTCCGAAACGTGAAACTTGTAGGGCTCAGATGTAGAATCAAAGCAGTGGGTAAGGAAAACGCTGATCAGAATTGCATTGCAAGGGAACAGTTGATAAGGCTAAACTTGAGTAGTGAAGTCCGATCGATTAATGTTTTAATAAAGCCATTTAAAATTCTGAGATAATCTTCTGGGCACGTAGATTATCAATTGTCCATTTTTTGTATTAAAAATTCTGTGTACAAGGTGTTTTTTATTCTGATGTGCTTTTCGGATGCGGCTAGCGTAAACTGGAAACGAATTGTGGTGAATTTTATTGATGAAGACGCTACATAAATCGTTTGGCTATTTATTGGCAATATTTTCGGATTTTTCGTGAGGTTAGCCTTTTTTTAAGGCAGTATGAGGACAATGGAAAGGATATTTGGTACAATAAGGTACATTAAATTCTGAAGAAAAGATTTTCTGGTGCTTTTATGACGAACGAAATTTTCCGAAAACGGAAGGGGTACAATGAACTACATTGAATTCAGAATCAGGTAGATTTACCTGGCGGTGGCACTGTTTACTGCTTTAACAGAAAGGTACATTCAGGTGATCTCTAGGGGTAAAATAAAGAACTAAGCAGTGAAAACTTCAGCAACAAAACTAGCATAAATAAAATAAATAAATAGAAATAGTATACTTCTCTTTTTGTGCAAATATTTTTCGCTAATAACTCTAAATTAACTAAAACCTTGACTAAAACAGTTTATGAGGTCACGGCTTCTGTGAAATACCCATAACTAAGAGCGCAATATAAATAGTGCTTTTGTCGCTAAAGTTGCAGGTAACTTCACCACGAATTTCCCGAAAAAAACCTAATTTCGACCAATACGGTTGTTTTCCGTGGATTGCTGGCGAATCAATTGCAAATGTTTATGGACCACAAACTAGTCACTTCTGTTCCTAAAACGCGAATCAATCCCAAATCTCCCGAAATGACTCCCATTTATCTCTTACTTAATTAATTACTACCTACAAAATAGAGAGTCGTTAACGCAGACGGATATCTTTTTAGATCCCGCGCTATGAATCAAATAAAAAAAACAGCACCACGGTTGACAAATTTATTGTTTGAGTTTCCAACTGGGAATTTTGAAATTTCTATGATATGCAATGCCCAAATCGTTCCGCTCTTAGAAGTTCCAAAATTTCTATAGCTTTACAACAAATTTCGAAAACAATTAGTTGAAAATTTAGAGCTACCGTTACAGCGTTGAAAACACAAAAATCACAAACCGAATGTCTTTTTATAGTATCCAAAGAAGTATATACAGTTATATTGAAGCGAACCTTGAGACGGAACCTAGAATCGGCAACTGCTAGTCAAAGGAATCCGGTCTTCCAGTAAGAGCCACCGACGTTTGACAAAGCTCATATAATTTTGGGCGCTAGGCGTCCACAAGTCACGCTAAAATATAAATAAAAATATAAATTGAAAATAAAATAGGATTACAATCCTCAGGCACTGGTGGGTTATTAAAAAAAAACACTTTTGTCTTAACAAAGAACAATTCATATACACAAATGATATTTAATTGCATAAAACAGTAAATAAACCAGCAATTCTGGGAAAGTTTACTGTTGAATAAATGCAAATTTTCACGAAAGCTGGTTATTTATAAGGTACAACTTAATCTAATCTCATTTACAGACAGAGAGATAAATAAATTGAGTAACTGAATTACCTGGAGTTAACATTAACGACAAAGGCAAAATATAAATTAAAATATGCTGCATTGAATTGACGTCCTGCCGAAAAATTTGCCGGAGTAGAGAAAATTTGATGAATATCTACGAGATACTTCACATGAACTTGAGAAGAAGGATGAATTGTAGGGAATCTTGAAAGGAGAGAACTTGGAGAGATATTTGAAGACATCCTGAAAAGCAACGAAGAACAACTTGAGGAGAACTTGGAATATAGTGAAATCGTAGGGAAGCTTAAAAAGGACTTGAGGAATATGAGGAAATTAAGGGAAGTTTGAAGGAAACGTGAGGAGAATTTCAAAAGAACTTGAGGAACTGGAGAAAACCATAAGGGTAATTTAACTGGAAATCTTTATACAGGGTGTATCTTTTCGAGGTATAAAACTTTTCACAGCGATTCAGCATTATTTTCTGAGTGAAAAATCTAATAAAAATTTTCCTCTATATTTTTGAATCTGGCAACATGAGAATTTGTCACTGATGCAAATTGCAGGATTAAGGCATTCTAGACAGACCTTTTACGTGAAAAACTCAAGAGCATTGATGCCACATTTTAGTAGATTTATAAAATTTAAAAAGAGAATCAGTGAGTTCTTGCGAAAAGTTGATGGGACCTTTTTCAGATGGAGGATATCCATTGAGAATTTCGATTTCCGCCCATTTGGATTTAGCACCGATACAAACTAAATAAATGTTGGTAATTTATTGGCCCTGCATAATCCACATGAATATGGTCCCAATTTTGTGCTGGGTATCACCGCTTGTTAGTTATATCTAATTTGTGTTGGTGCATTCGTACATTTTAAGCACTCGCGACAAAATTTTACCAGTCATGGTTTTCAATACCTTTTTTAATGTTATTCCAATAACATTAGCGCCTGACTAACTATTTCATTTTCTGTATACTTAAATATGCACTTGTAATTCCTGAAGGTGACAAATCTGGCTGCATCTTTTTGGAATAACAATTCTATGGCCTCTGTAAAGAACAACGTCATCAATAGTGTATATGGAATTAATGCGACAATTTTGAATATTTTGTATGATATCTTGTAAATCTGCATCATGAGGTATACTTAGACCAATTAACTTTAGGGGAACTTGATGGGAACTTGAAAGCTACTACAGAAGGAATTTACATTGTGGCACTCACGGTCAGCCGGATTATGTACTTACGTTTAATTATTCCGAAAAAAACGCTTTGTTGCCATTCAACTATTCAAATCAAATCCCACGTTCAGAGAAATACCGCCAAACAAAGTATTGAAAGATGGCTGTCAATTCATAAATGACTGATTGATGTGTAAAGAAGGAGGCAAAAGAGAAATGGATAGGTAACCTTTCAAATCCTCTTACGACTAAGCGCGCGATTTTTATTAAAATTATCTTAGTCTCTCTTTTTGGAAGTGGATTCATAACTTGTAAAAAACTCCCTTTCGATTTCTTCCACTGCGTATTTGATTGATCGCTGCAAAGGATAAAGGCATTAGACAAACACTATTTGACACATTTTCGCTCCCTTTTCTCTTCAATTATTACTCAAAATCAATACCTAAAACCGCCCTACAAACACAGCACGATTGCTATTCAAGTTCGTAGATTTAAAAATTTAAACCCCTTGGCTCCGTTTCAAAATCCGTCCACGGCCAAAAGATAATACCGAAGACAATGGACGCGCGTATTTCTCTTTTTCCTTATTTTGTATGTGGCGTAGGTATACGGGATTTTTGAATTATGAATATTGTACATAATTTAAGCAAGGGACGAAGGGAGATTTAAACGTGCTAGATATTCTAGTCGAAATATTTATGCGGTGAAGTTTCATTGGAACTTTGCCAACGATATTTGGACAGATTCAGAATCTCAACAGCTCTTAAGGATATGCACAACGTAAAAATTGTAGTTTTCCCTAATGATGGTCGCTTTTTGTTCGAATTTAAACGACCGTCTTAAACATTGTCGCTAACTGGAAAAATTCTTAATTTCGCCGTCTCGTCTAGATAGTTGCAAGTTTTTCTATTACACATCTGAATTACATTAATTGCTTGGAATAGTTCTTTAATACAAAACACAAAGATACGTTGATACATACTACATTAGCACAATAGCATTATGAAATTTAAAAAAAACTAATTAGTCAGGTTCAAACTATGCCAGAGTGGCATGGAAGGAAGCAGATTACGTAGAAAAAATAAGTGTATTGTGTTTTCTCCATTTAGTTTGTTATTTTCCTTCCAATGTCCCACAAGGGTGGTCGTTATCGTCCAATGAATATATAAATTTCGCTTCTAACAATGATTGCGTGCAACCTTTTCCAACCAAAGATGGGCGTAATCCCGCGGTATCTATGGCATAGTTGTAGCTTGGACCGACGGGCGGATTACTAAAAGCGTAACCCAAAACTGTCTCTGCCACGATTAAAATACTGAATTGTGGTTGCTTTTTAGAGGGCAACAGAAATTGAATGGAGAAAAAAACCAACTTCTTTTCCCTTTTTACACGAACCACATATAAATTCTGCACAGATCGACCTAACTATTGGATAAAAAGTCAATATGCTTGCGACAAATCGGAAGCATAAAAACTTTCCAATGAGAAAGAACTTGCTGGAAAAACATAACTCTCACTCTCTCTTCCGCGTTAACTTAATTTTCGGCCCTCTCCCTTTCCTTGCACGTTAGACGCATGGCGTAAGCGATAAAATTCGGCATTCCGCCGTAAGTATGAATATGAAATTATGATTTTATCTTTCTCTTGCAGGAAACCGTCGAACGGCGAGCGTGCGATCTGTAGGTTATAGCGATTTGTTCGTGTTGAGTAAAAAGGACATGTGGGACGTGCTGAAAGAGTATCCAGCGGCCAGGGTGCGTTTAGAGGCAATTGCGGTTAAAAGATTAGAAAAGTATAAGAAGGCTCCATTAGAAAAGGGTAAGGATTTTTAAATGCAAATCGCTTTTACAGTCTTTACAGTCATAAAATTATACGGAATAAGGTGTTTATTTCTTTCATACTTCATCTTTCTACTTATCGAGCTCTTAAGGGGAAATTTTGCACTTGATATAAGCCGATTTAGTAAACTTAAGGTGGTGTTTTATTAATAATTAATTGTGGGATCTTCTCCTAAGTAAATGAATTAATTTCGCAGCTTTTCATTTCTGGTTGTCGCTTTCAGAAACTGCAGAATATTACGGAAATGCAACGATTTGGTATTATATTTGGTTAACCATACCAAAGAGCCAAGTTAGAAACGAGCATTCTTCGTACTTCCGATAACCGGAATGTTTTTGGAAAATTGGTGCAAAGCTACGATCAAATATATAAACATGTTCTGAGTTGCCGCTATATTTGTCGGTTATCTAGTGAAAAAACTATTATTTATGAAATAGTAGTTGATGATCAATAGAAAAAAACGAGTTGTCATTTTTTGTTGGAGAAAATTAATTTAATTATTACCGTTTTATAATTTATTATACATACAAACCATTAAATGGATATTTTGACCATTGAGTGAATTAACTTTCACGAGATGGTTAGTTTAGTTTTATCGTCGTGTATAATACAAAACTTTATTTTATAGCAGAAACAGAATCATTGTAAAGCTTTTGACAACTCTGAATTTAATTTACGTAAAAAATAACAAGCTTAGGTTTTGCCGTCGCAGTCGTTTCAATAGAAACAGCATTGTATGTTCTAAACTTCATTTTATTTCGTGCTCCGCGTCCCATTTGAAATAAGAATGACGGATGTCATTAGAATGCACAATCATCTGTTTCACGTTATCCACCCTTGCGGTTAAAGTAGTCACTTTATCTACCCTTACGCTAAAGAGCCACTAAGCCTATTAAAATGTCAATTTAACATCTGCTATATTATAAAATAATTTTATTTATTGTTCTTCGAAAGGTTATTGGTGTTAGGACTGCCCCTGACATTTTGGTTCCTTCGAACACGGATCGGTTCGTTGATGAATGTTCATTGTAATTATTGCTTATAAACTATGATTGACTGATCATGAGCCAACAAGATAGCGCATGGATCGTGTGAAATGTAGCAACCAAGGAAAAATGCCGGTGAAGTATGGTCAATGGATGTATCCGGATCAAGGTCAAGCGGCGGAGAGACATCCGGAAACCCCTTGGACGTCACACAGACGACGGCCGACCAAGGGAATAGTGTTAAAAGCACAGTGCATGGACAGCAATGAGACAAAGTTCCAAGTCAATTGCTGGAATTGAGACTTCACAGGCCAAACAAGAAAATAAATGCTTAAGGCTACGTCTGCAAAGAATAGCCAACCTTGAGGAAAACATCGAAACTAAAAGAAGGCCGAGGCGGAGCTTATAGCAAGAAAGGCTGAAAAGGAAGGCACAATATGAACTTGAGTAGCTCGAAGTCCAATAAAATAGTGGAATGCTGCTTGATGGATTGGATCAACATGGTTGAAAGAGACATTGGACTACCAGTGGGTAAAGTGCAGTGTGGTGATTGGGTTGAGCGTGATGCTGGGTATATCCCGAGTAAACCACAACAGAAGTGACTTTGTACCAACCCATTTTTTTTACCGACCACCAATACAACAAGATGTGAGAGTATCTAAGTATCATCATACGTCTATTCACAGGCATAAAGAAAGACACGTAAGTCTTTTCTGGAGATCCAAATGAGTGGCCTGGATTCATTTAGAGGTATAGATATATTGTGGATGCTCGTGAAAGGTGCGAAATTTAACTTGTTAATGCGTGGACTAAAGGATGACGCAAAAATCTATGTGAAGAATCTTGTCTTCACAAGTGAAAATGTAGATATAACAGAGAAAAGGTTCGGAACACCAGAGAAAAATTGAGGAAGCTCTTCTCACCTCAAGAACTCAAACCGGAGTCATTTTTGGAATTTGCGAATTCTATTAGTGGCTTCATAACAATGACTGAACATTTGAACCAAGAGGAATATTGGCGAAATTATGGAGAAGTTGTTATGTGCAACGAAAAATTCATGGGTTCTCCATCGGGAAACACTTCCCTCATCACCCACTTGAACTTGAACGTTACGTTTCTTGATTTCAGTTGGTGGCCAATTCACGTCTCACTCTCATCAGCTACAAGTATCCATCTGACAAAAATGATATTACTGAGTATGGACATCGGGAATTGAAACCCAAGGAAAAATCATCCCCTAACGTAGCGTTATAATATCAGCGGTCATGCTGGATGATGACTCATTGACTACAATCATTGAGTAAAGTCTAGCTGACGAGCTTATACTTGAAGACAAAGAGATTCCCTACACTTTTCGTGGACTTTCAGACTTTTTCGTGGACCAAATGGCAAGATAATATTCATCTCATCATTCCAAGAGAATGTATTGAGGAACGCTCCGTGGGTATCAACGTGTAAGTGATGGATAGACAGTTCGTGGTCCAACCCCTAGCGGTGCAAGCACAAATGGGATTTCCTTGTTCATGATTGAGAAGAAAAGCCCAAATTGAAGGGATGATTCGAGAGTCCATGGGTACCAATTGCATCTGGAGTGAGTGTCAAGGATGACCGACCGCGGCCAAAGTAAGACAAGCGTGTCTTCCTGAAAGCAGGGAGCAAGCTTTGAGACGTCTCAATTTTCTGGATTTTCTTTCGCACTTTACGTCGAAAACAGAAATGAAGAAGAATTTGAGAAGGATCATCCGAGAGTAGTTAAAGCCTATCATACATTTTCACTACATGAACGATTAAAGTTGGAACTTACTCGAAACACTATTCGGTTCGCTTATATAACGAACAACATTCTTTCTAGAATGTTCTCGAGTGCTTAATGGCGACTTGGAATGTTCTCGAGCAAAAACGTCATATTTCTCGGAAAGATTACGTCACATTCGCCTTCGTTCTTTATCGCCGATGACTAATTTTTCATAACACCTCGATATTTATCGAGATTTCCGGAATGCTGGCTACAGTATTATTTGGTAATTACAAAATTGGCAAGAATAAAAGTTTTCAATGCGAAAAAAACAAGATATAAACAACAAAAACTTACAATGATATATTAGCAAACGCTTTCTTCTAGCAGTTTCTGTTTATTGCAGGAAATTCTTAGCAGGCGATTTAAATAATTTGAAATTAGGACAACCACGTCATTTTTAGGTATAATTTAATTCAAATAAATATAAATAGGTACATTTCAGTACATGAAAAATCTCTATCTTGTCTTTAATAAAGTTACATTACACATACATTCACAATAAATTCATTATAATATGGGGAGCGCCTGTCTGAAAACTGAAGCTAACAAAATATCCTACAAAAAGTATATATAAAATTCTGTAGTTAATGCAACTTGACCGAATTGAAAAATTGCTACCTCAATAATACATACCCCTAGCTAGCCGCATAGGGCCGTTTGTGGTATATGGCTAGTGAAGTATTTATATTCTACATAAGAAATACAATACTAACGCTCGACTTTTTTAACAATAATCTTTCAGATAAGTTTAACTGCTGTATTAAGGGCTGGCTACCCTACAATATTGTCAATAGTGTGTTACAAGTATATGATTAACCTGCCTTTGTCACCCTCTGTCAATAATGATGTTTAACGCCATTAATTTTCAAGAGTCTATTGAGAGTTTCTTCAAGAGTCTTGAACTACCGAAATTTCAAGACAAGACTGAATGTCAACCTACATTTCATTGCTTCTGTTGCGTCATCGAAAAGAGCGATTTTCCATTACAATCCCATTTAAAAGTTTTGTTATTCATAGCATTTTTTCCGCGTAAGTGAGTACCTATATGTCATTTTCTATAAAAGAGTAAATATACATTAAAAATATCCCAAAATCGCTCTCAACTTTGAAACTTCAACAGTGGCGCTTAAATGGGCGTTTATACAAACATTTTGTAACTTTTATAAGGGTTGCGGTTACAAGCAACTGCCATTTAAGGCACGTTGTAGTACCTCGGCTTTCAGAATCGATCGCGGGAAATTTGCATTAGTTAGACTAATTGCCAACCAAATCGCTAATTGCGTTTTACTTTCAGCGGCGATGGGACGAAGCCAGTCGACGCCTGGTTTAATAGAGTCTAGAGGAAAAATAGCTTTAGAAGATATGTGGATTCCACCGTGCCTATCCGGTTTAACGCCTGCATATCCGCGATCACTTCTGGGTTCACCGCCACGTGCCCCCGATAGTCCGGGATCTAGAGGTTCGAGAGGCTCCAGAGCATCGACCAGCAGCGGTAGAAGTCATCGGCAGACACCAGCGTCGCATGCCCGTTCTGGTAATTCTCATTTCGAAATTAATTCCTGTTTTTCTCTTATCGGGAGTAGGTAATTACGTTAAAATGCAACGATGTGCAGAGTATCACCGAATTGATGAAACGCAAACAAATCAACTTGCGCCCGGATGGGGTAGTTGACATTTATTACGTTTATCGGCGTCGGTTTAATACTACAAACGTACCCTGGTCGTCATTTGATATTTTAGTAAATAGTGTAATTACTGGAACTGAAATGTGTCAATTTTAACAAGGGTCAGTAAACATATAACGAAGATGTAGATAAATGATCTGTGGCGCACTATACAATGTCCTTATACAGAATAATGCTTTAGGGCAATCTGTAATTATTATCTAACATCTGTACAAGATGTTGCGATATCGATTACTGTCTGCTTTATGCTTCGTTTAATACTTTCAGTCAATGCGTATGTATCAAACAATCCAGAGTAAAAACACATTGACATTAATATTCCGAGGGTAAATTATCTTTGGAAAAAATACGTACAAGAAAAATAATAGTTTATAGATACTTATGTGCTATTGCTGGTAAAACATAATTGAATCTCTGCCGACAGTTTTCATTCATTCATTTTTCTAATAGAAACTGTAGTATTCCAACGGTATGCCGTACTAAGCGATCAATAGCCATTTTTACCACCCGTACATTAGTAAGGGAGGTATTGCATGCGGGTAAAAAATGACCCCCCACTTTTTTTACGGAAATACATGTTTTGAAGCATCAAGAATCCGAATCAAATAAAATCTCGATGATGTCGGTCTGTCGGGTCCGTCTATACTCTCATTTCTGGTTAAACGGCTGAACCGATTGGAACCAAATTTGGTAAGCAGATTTTTAGACATAAAAGGAAGATGATCTGAAAAGCTTTAGGGCAGGGTCGCGCATTACGCAAGAAACAAATTTCTCTAAACCAATCGAAAATAATGGTTTAAGGTATCACTGGTGCAACTTAAATCCTCAACATTGAAGGATTAAATAAACAACAAGTTAAAAAGTAATCGTAAACGATTTACATAAAGCGCATTTCCACTTGCATTCATTTCCCATTTGTAAGATGGAACTTCTATAAAATCGTAAAAATCCGGCCACAAATATGAAAGATAGCGTTGCACATGGGCAATCCATTTTTGTTGTGCTACTTCAATGTCAGTTTATGAGAAGAATTTCATTTCAATGCTTTTCTAAATAAGAAAGTTGGAACTGCGCATGCGCAAACCTAAATTTTGAAACTAATGTTAGATTTTCCTTTGTTCCAAGCGCCTAAATATCAGATTTCACTTAAATGCTTCCATAGATAAAAAAGTTAGCACTGCGCATGCGCAAAATAAAATTTTGAAAGTGGCGCTGGATTTTCCTTTATTCCAAGTGCCCATGTATCAAATTTCATTTAAATTCTTCCATAAATAAAAAAGTTGGCACTGCGCATGCGCAAAACCAAATTTTGAAATTGGCAGTTGATTTTCCTTTATTCCAAGTGCCTATGTATCAAATTTCATTCAAATGCTTTTATAAGTAAAAAATTTTGCAATTCGGTTTATAAATGGTCGAGATGCGAAAAGGGCACTGTGAATTTTGAATCGATTCAACTTTTGGCGTTGCGTATTATATGGCTAAAGCTATGCCCATATTGAATTTCATGCAATTCAGTTCATAACTAACGGAGGTGTAAAAGTGATCGAACATTTCTAAACAAAGTTATCGTTAACACGGACAGATAGATGGACAGACAGACAAAGGAACAGAAGGACAGACCAACAGGCAGACGACAGATAGCAATGCAAAATTATAAACGATCTCTAGGATCGTTAATAAACGGCAAAAGTGTAAAATTATGGAACATGTAAAAAACGGTTTTTTGTTTTTTTACAATAACTTTTTTTGTAAGCGGTACAGAAAAAATTCCTTCCTTGGTACAAGACTCGACACCATAACGAACCAAATAGCGAAAAAAGTAGAACAATAGCTCTTAAGATAAAGAACTAGTAGCGTCGCAAACGAGCGGACGGACGGACGGACGGACGGACGGACAAAGTGGCCACAATAGCGCATTTTTTTTTATTTTTGTGGAAATGCGCTAAAAATTAATGCACTAATCTAGCGTAAAGTACTCTTAACTAGCAGCTTCCTTCCTTCGAAAATGAAGCCTTATGCTACTTACCTTTAGGGTGGTAGCCGAGGTGGTAGCTCTCTTTTTTCTTATTTTTTTAATTGCTTAATGACAGAAACGATGTCTATAGATTTATCATGGTTTGAATAAAAATAATGTGAAAGAAAAACTTATACATAACCATGATGAATAATACAGCGTATCTAACCGAATTTTTCATTAAAACAAGGTTTGACCAATAGTTATTTACATAAAAGTCAGGAAAATGCAGGGGAAAATGATACATTACTGGCGAGAAAATATTGAAGTGCGAGGGGCCGAGTACTTTAATTTCCGAGTCAGGTGATGACATTTTACTGACGAGTTTTGTATTAAATTACACCCCAAATCGTCTTTTAATACAAAATTAGGCATGAAAATGAAGATTTCAGGACGATTTAGGGTAAAGTGTTTTTTTTGTAATGGGAAATTGGGAACCCTAGTCGTGTTCAAATAACAGGCAATGGAGATCATTTATACAGGGTGTAGCACCTAAAATCTCTCGGATCAATTACCGCAGGAATGTTTCTAAAATATTTTTGATCACCAGGGACGCGCTGTATTCCAGTGGCGTATCAAACTTGAGAGTACTTGAAAAGTACTTATTTTTTTTATGTAACATGTTATACCCCTAACTTTAACGATTTCGCTGTTATAACCTTTTTTCGTCAAAATTTGACAGTTTTCCGAAATTTTTTGTGATAGAAACTAAATCGCGCAGGCTTCTAATTTTTGGACTGAGGACCTCTTCCATAATTTTTTTAGGTACTTTATCGAAAAAATAAAATTTTTGATTGACCTTCGCTAAACGTCATATTTTTTTTTACTTTCTAGGCCTGTCTAGCATCTAGGTCCTAAGGAGTCTTTTATGTCTTTTAGGCATAGAATTTAAGCGTTATCTAGTCTCTTCTAATGCGTTCTAGGTGCACCTATTTTTGGGCAATGTTCAAACGGCTCTCGAAAAGACTACAAAGAATCTAAGGAATCTCTCAAAAAACTAATGCGATAGAGGGCCCTGCAATGTCATTTAAATTAATTTAAACGCCTTGTAGAGATTTCGAAGGCTCTCTATGCGCTGTTATAGGTACTTTCAAATGACAATGTCTGGAAACGCTGAAAGGGCAGCGACAACTTTCCAAACGGTGCTCAACATGCTATAGGATGCTAATATTGCCCATTCCTACGTTGAGTAATGTTAAATCTGGACTGAAACTAAAATTTGCTACTATATGAATGTTAGTTAATACATTTAAAGAGAAGGCGTACCCAAAATCATGACACCGAGTTGATCAAGATTAAAGAAGCTAAAACTCATTAGTAACTCTCAAAATTTTAAGAAATTAACATATTGCTATCATCCCCTAAAGAGACACTATCCACTAATTAAAAACTTTATCAGCTGAATAACAGATAAGTTAACATAAATGACTTCTTGACTTCATTACTTCCGCTCCAAGTTGTGTCTGTTGCTGTTACCTCAGAAAAGATGTTGTCTTTGTACACACGGTTGCATTCTGCAAATTGATATACTCCGGATAGGTCAGCAATTGAACAGTTATCAATGTTAATAGAAACTAGAAACCGAAACCAAAAACCAAAAAAAACCCTGCAAAGAAATCCTTTGAACACAAAAATGTAACCTACCTCCCAATTAATAAGAAGGTTGTTTAGAAAATAATAGTACTAAAACGGCAACGGTTGAATCTTAAATCGGTTCAAATTTCAAATTCTAAAAAGAACAGACTAGATATCACGGTCGGTAAAGAAGAGGGTCATACTTTCGTATGCATCCACCTTGAATTCAAATTATAGCCTCCAACATGAGAGAAAAGTGTATCTCGATCCAAATCAATTCGAGATTATACAAAATGCGACTAATCACCATAAATAAGTCCTACTTAAGAAATGTTGCAATTAAAAGGGGAAATGAACTTTGCAAAAAAGGATACGACGACTATTATAAGTTGTCAATTTTTAAGTCTTAGGTAAGGAAAAATAAAACAAGCACATTAACAATGATCATTCACCAATCCGAGTAAATGTTTGTCGGAATCGCTTAATGTCGTGAAACCAGTATTTAGAAAACTTGTATGTCCCTTCTACGCTTCCTTACTATTCTTCATACTGTCGCCCTTTTTATAAATCAATGGATTGCCGCTGTTTTTTAAGTATAGTATCTTCTTCTCTGTCCAAACTTGCTTATATATCAAATACAGTTCAATATTTTGTTTGTACCTTTGTTGTACCCAAGAGATTTGCCATTATTTAAATCTTGTAGTTCTTTGATGATCTATACTTTTAACGTCTGCATTCTTTTTTTGTATTTTTGAATTTAATTTTAAAGTTCCAATTTTTTTTGGTACATTTGCTACATTATTTCATTTATCGATTAAACATTCGAATCTTACTCATTGTTGCCGTTTGTAACAGTACAATATCTACGAAAACACCTCACAACCCGTTACACCTTTGCCTTGATTAGGACAGCAAGGGGAGGGAGATGACTGAATTTTATTTTGCATGAAAATAACTTAATCTTCATGACACAGAAATAGTTATCTTATACTGACAGCTCTCAGGATTTTTGTAGATAATAAAACACGTACAGATTTTCAAGAGTGTAGTAATCCTTTATTGAAATAAATAACAACAATATCTAAATTAATTAAAACCCTCAGAATATAAATACTCAAGAAAATATAAAATAGACACTCTTTTTTCTTTACATATCGAAAGCTCGAGCGAAAGTGAAGGATCCAGATTAATTTTTCGTGGCTATACGCATTTAACACCAACAAAACATATAAAAGCTGGGAGATTAAGGGCATATAAAAACGTTTACCAAAATCAAGTAGCACAAGAAATAAAATCTATAATTGGCTATATATTTTTTACAAACCCTTAATTTTTATTATGCTTTATTTTTACACGACTTACAAATAACTTCTTTATTATATTCTGGTTTTCTTTATAATCCTTATTCAATAAATATTTACGGGATCTGTTTCATATGGTTCATCGGAGCTTGTAGTCTCGTTTATTTTTATCGCTTTTGTTTCTGACCATCATTAAACTTAATGTGTTAGTTGCAATACCAGAAGTACCTAGTACATGTCTTTATTGTATATTTTTTGTTGCTATACGTATTTTGGAAAATCAAACAATAGTTATTTACATAAAAGTCAGGGAAATGACACGTTACTGGCGAGGAAATATTGAAGTACAAGCCGAGTACTTTAATTTCCGAGTCAAGTAATGCCATTTTACTGACGAGTTTTGTATTAAATTTTACCCGAAATCGTATTTTACCATAAAATTTCAATTTTCATATAGAACTTTTGATTAATTCCAATTTGTGATTGATGACAGGAGTCGTAGACATTTAGCAATCAGAAAAAACTCTTGGTTGTGGTTGATTTGAGGAATTGAGTCGTTTATTTCATTCATGACATTTAGCAATATGACAGGTGCGGCAGGTAAAGTGACAAGTGCGGCTGGTAAAGTGACAGGCGGTAGGAAAAGTAGACTAGTCTGTCTCCGTCATGGAAACTAACATTTTCCTGACATAAAGTAAGCATGAAAATGAAGGTTTCATGACGATTTTGGGTAAAATAGAGACATTCAATCACACCCTATTTCTTTACAAGACTGTATAAGACATAAAACAAATTAAAATTGAAAAATGGTATCGTCTTCCTTGTACAACATGAAAAATGTTGCCTCCTCCAGACTCCAAACTCCTGATTATAACCATCTTGCTAGTAATCTTCTTGTCTTTTGAGTCACAGCTATTACAGATGCACCTGTCCCTCCAAATAAGTACTAACTACCTATTACCTACTAACGATTGTGTTTTCTATACCTAGGTACGACCTTACACTGCGACAGCATGACGCAATTGGTATCGGAAGCTGCAACGCCACTCCTTGGTTCCCACGAAGCATTGGAAAGTGAAATCAAAAGGCTACGGGAAAGACTGCACACCGTCGAAGCGGAAAATACGGCAATGAGCACAAAGCTAAACCAGCAGCAGTGGGAACTAGAAACCAGACTGGCCGAAATCGAAATGCAAATTTGCGGTTCGCGTTCGACGAGCAGTTTAGAGGACAATGAGCGTAATCGCGAAAGTATCATTTAACAACTAAATACGCTGCCTTACAACATTTTAAATGCACATACGCACGCGTTTGTTCAGCACATTGTGTAATGGCGGCCACAATCGAATTTAAAAAACTTGCTAGTGAATTTAAACAATGCACTGTACTCACGCTGACTGCCATTTTGTATAACCTAGTAGATACCCCTGATCGAGTGAAAATTAGTCGGGTATGTTTGTGGTGCTTCAAAGGATAATAATGATAAAGTGTCAAACCCTTTTAAACATTATTGTTGTTTACGCAACAGTACCTCGAAATGTTTTCAGATAAAGAAAAAAATCTTGCTGTGGGTCGCAACGTTCAGCAAGTTCGTGAACCATTGACGAAGTACACGTACAGGGACCAAGACCACGATACTCGAAGAACTAAGTATCGGCAGCAACAGTTACATAAACGCGCCAACGCTCCATTCTTTCCCTCGAAGGGATTTTGGAAATAATCGAGTGTTGCGCATTTTCTAAAAGAAATGAAATATTACTGCCAAAAGTCTTTAATTCTATCATCCTTTTAGCTCTACTCATAGTACTTTGATAGATATTAACAATAGAATTTTTTAGACTTCTTGTAGATAATTTCACAATAGGAGAGGATACCTACCTTCAAATTTGCTTAACAAGGAAAAATCTGTTTAAATAGATTTAGAAAACGTTTAGCTAAATGAAACCCAGTGAGACCAACCATTTTTTAAAAAAGAAGAACGTTTTTACCAAGTATTTGCTTCAAATTTCATGTTCCATTTAATTGTCATACCGAAAAATTGGAGATCGGATTGTGGTGAAATTTTCGTAGATGTTTTAAGCAATAATCATTTCACTCTTCCATTATATTGTTTATATCTACATCGTCCGATCTCTGGTAATAGTATACTCAAATTTTCAACACTTGGAATGGTCAAAAGAAAAAATAATTTTTCAAGATTGCTTGATGTGTTCACGATGTAAACTTAATAAATTTCTCTATTGCAATTAAAGACGGTTTGTAATTGATCGTCCTCACTTACAAGGCGATCTAATTAATGTAAGTAACTTTACATGCCTTATAATTCATAATATTGTAATTAGTACTGTTCCAACGGTTTTTCTTAACAGAGAAGGTGAAGTTGAAATGTGGAAGGCGACATCTTCTCGCAATTACCGTTTACTAATCATTTCAGAATTTAAAACGAGAGGATTATAATATATTGAATGTCCACATGTGAAAATGAAATGGATCTTTTTACAGTTTAAAGATATGTTATAGGTATTTTGTTGCTATATTGTTATATAGGTATATAATTGATTATATAATGCAAGGATAGTGTTACAATAATTTAAACCATTTCGGTGAAGAGGAATAAGTTGTAACCTTACATTTGTAATAATAAGTACCTCCCTAAATTCCCGACTTAGCTTGTGACATTCACTACCTACCCTACATTTTGTAACCGTTACTTCATATTTAATATGTCTTATTGAAATAAAATTATGAATTTTATTGCCAAATGGATCTCTTCATTAGGTATATCCATTATTTATAACAATCCTTATTGGATGAACTAATTACCTTAATCCATCGTACACGCATTATTCAATATTCATGTATTTTGTGATTACCTACCCCTTCCCCCGACGATCCTTTAGGTATAGGTACACTGGATGGTTTAGCTGTGACGCGATAAAGTTAAAAATGTAACTGATTCAAACAGAAATAATCTTTCTGGGCAATACTATCAAAAAATTTCAAAAACATGGCTAGTCTTCAGAAACAGTAAATTAGAAGAATTTTTTCAGTTGTTTATTATATTAGTAAATATACACCGTCGCACTCCTTTTTAAATTATGATTTAATTGGTACATCTGTATTCTATAGATTTTATAAATCGCTCTTTACAATCTTAGCAATTATATACAAACAATAAGAAATTCCGAGCTGTTTCTCAAAATGACGTACGGTTGCAACAAAAATTTTGAGTTGTAGTACCTCAAAACTACGATATTTCAAAAAAAATTGTACAAAAAATCTGTAAACCTCTTTTTTTATCTCCCATGCTTCGTTTGAGTTCCAATTATTTTCCCAATAAACAACTATTCTGAAAAAAGGATTAAAACACGGAAAAATGGTAGGTTGTTGCATATATAACTACCTACATACAAAATGTAGAGTATAATAAGAACTAGGTACGTTTGTGGTTTAACCTTTTCTAAAAGTTGACCCATTTTGAATTTTACCTTACTTAAAGAACAATATCTCGTATGAAAAATGCCTTCTTGTTGATTTCGAGGTTGATACAACCAGGCTAAGGTAAACTATTCCTCGCTGATACAATTCTTCTTACAATAATAAATCGCCAGGAAGTGTAAATTTAACTTCCCGTCTGATACTTTTTCTTTTACGAATTTCGTGAAGAACTTTTGTTCGCTAAAAGGGATTCTTTCGAATGTTAAATTCCAATATTGATAATTGCATGCAAGTTAAGTTTTATTCTTACGAGAAATTAGGTTTATCAAAGTTTTAAATGTTTTTGTGTAAGGGAGAAATTTTCCTACATACAACAAGACAGTCTATTTTATGGATTTCTTTCCAATACGCAGAGCTGGGCAGAATACTTTCAAAAAGTATTTGAATACTATAGTATATTGAAAGACAAGTGTTACAATGCGACCTATTGTAATACGACTATCTTGTGGCACGAGTGGCGACGCGAAGCGTAGCCACGAGTGTCCGCAAGATAGGAGTATAAAGCATTGTAACACGCGTTTTTCATACTATTTTTTCTATTTCGGTGCTTTAATTTAATTAAAAAAATCATTATCAGAAACTATAGGGAACATTAGAACTAACATGTTTTATGTTGGGAACACTTTTTATGCCGTTAAGTTTTAGGTTGGCAGCGTAGTAAGACTGACATTTTGAAGTTCAAACATGGAAGTACCCAACGAAGTACCTACTTGTACTAACTAGTAACTGCCAACTTAAGAGATGAGTTACTAAAAAAAACGACTATAATCACTGTCTTTGTACAACTGTTTTCGGTCGAAAACAGTTGTACAAAATCATCATTGTGACACCGAAATAGAAAAAATACTTTTACGTCCAGCACAAGCGAATATTAGAAACAGATACATTGAAAAGTATTCAAATACTTGAAAAATAAGTATTCAAATACTTTAGAATGTATTCGAATACTTTCAAAAGTATTCTAATACTATCAAATGTATTGGAATACTATAAAAAGTATTCGAATACTTTGAAAACTATTTCATTAACTTACTTTGGAAAGTATTCGAATACAGTAAAAAGTATTCAAATACATGTCACTCAAATACATTAAAAATTTAAAATAGTATACTAGATAAAAGTCTTAATACTACTTGAAAAATCAAGTTATGGGGTTAGCTTTTTTTATATTTCTATTGTTATATATAAATTTAAGGGGAGTAAAAGCGTATTATTATTATTATATTATTATATAGGAGGTAGCTACCAGGACTCAGATCGACCCGGAAAAAAATTTTCTTATAAAATGGGGCCTGTAGATTCCATAATTTCAAACAGTTCCAAGATTGGGCTACTAGTCCAAAAGTTACAGTAAAGTAGGAATTATTTTGGATTCTACGCATCAAAATTAATAAGAAAAAGTCTTTTCCCGAGAAATTTTGGTGTAGTCGATTTTTGGTAAAAAAAGAAGGTTGTACACTGCCTTTTTTTTTGGCCCGAAGAAAAAATTGTCTCAGATCGACCCGGAAAAAATGTTTCTTATAGAATGTAGCCTGTAGAATCCATAATTTCAAACAGTTCCATGATTGGGCTACTAGTTCAAAAGTTACAGCCCTTTGAATTTTCTTTCGAAATTGGTTTCTAGTGTATAACTGTTGATTCAGAAGTCTGATCGAAAAAGTACGAATTATTTTGGATTCTACGCATCAAAATTAATAAGAATAAGTCTTTTCCCGAGAAATTTTGGTGTAGTCGATTTTTGGTAAAAAAGGAAGGTTGTACACTGCCTTTTTTTTTGGTGCGAAAAAAATTGTCTCAGATCGACCCGGAAAAAAATTTTTCTTATAGAATGTAGCCTGTAGAATCCATAATTTCAAACAGTTCCATGATTGGGCTACTAGTTCAAAAGTTACAGCCCTTTGAATTTTCTTTCGAAATTGGTTTCTAGTCCATAACTTTTGATTGAGAAGTCTAATCGAAAAAGTACGTATTGTTTTGGATTCTACGCACTAAAATTAATAAGAAAATGTGTTTTCCCGAGAAATTTTGGAGTAGTCGATTTTTGGTGAAAAAGGAAGGTTAAGTATTCAAATACTATGCGAAGTATTCGAATACTTCTCAAAGTATTCAAATACCTTGCAAAGTATTCGAATACTAAATATTTGTGAAAGAATTTGAGTTACAAAGACAAGCACTGCTTCCATAAAAGTATTTAATCACTAAGGTATTTGAATACTTTAAAGGATTTGAATACTAAAAGGTATTTACAAAATCGAATACTGTCCAGCTTTGCCAATACGTATGCTGAAGATTAGTTCACCCTCATTACAAACTCAAAATTAGAAGGGCAATGCCTTTAACCATATTTCAACATACGCGCAGATTGAATTTCGCACTCCACACAAACAAGAGTTCAATCAATTCGTCCTCGACTGAATACATTTTTCTTTATTTATTTTAACAACTAAACCCACAAATTTAGTGTAACGTTCCCTTCTCTTTTTCCTCAGATAGATAATTTCGTTACACTTGAATTTAGACAGCCAGCATACGGAAAATCCTCTTTGACTAAACTTTTGACCGGAAAATCTCCTTTTGCTTCTTATTTCGCCCATTTTTAAATGTAATATTTTTGGGAAACTAGCTAGAAATTCGAGTTTCAAAAGTATGCCGGGAGAAAAATGAATTTCCGCTATTGTAAAGAAGTGTTTGCGGCAACTTAACTGTTTCTAGACCAGATTCCTTCAAAAACTACCCATTCTAACTGAATTAATGACTATACCCACAAAATGGCGAATTGCTAATACAGATGGACTAATTGAATCGTTAATTCGTGGCTTAAATCCCTGTCAACGAATCAAACAAATCACATCTTTTTAAAATATGGCAAATTTGCAGTTTCCACCCTACTGCATGGTATCACGCTGATAGTGTATTTGTAACTAACTAGCCGTTAATGCTTTGTTTATGTATAAACATTTTTAAAACCTGAATAATTAGTGGTAACTTTCTGAACACTAATTAAGTAATAAACATTAACTAATATTGAATCTACACATGTCATCCCTAAAGTTGTATCATAGAGTAAAAGCAATGGTTGTATACACGTTGGCTATCATTTTCAATTTTTGGCCCTTTTATTTGAAGTGAATGTGGTGCGAATTTATACTGCGGTTCCTCGAGAGCATTTCCGGCTTCTCTGGAGTGTTTTCTTCATTTATAACATGTAACCAGAGACTTATGGCAAGTCTCTGCATGTAAAAAATTTGAGCCATGATGTTAACTCATAGTTAACACAAGAGATACTTCCAAAGCTGCGGTAGTGAGAAACTGTGAGTGAATTAATTATGAGCAGTTCTTTTTATGAGGTCACGATTTTCAGTTTTGGGTGAATTTTTGCCCTAGGTTGGTGTAAATTAAACTTATGATGACAATTAAATTAACACATTATTGCAAAAATTTTAAAAAATAAAATTTTTTACGCAATAGATTGCTTTTTGAGGTATTCACTGCAAGTTAACTATATATAAATACCAACAGTTAGATATGGCAACAGTTTTTATTGGAACACTCTTGGGGTGCAAGCAGCCGACGTAATTGTCCCCACCTACTTACGGAGGTCAAAAATCTGTCAATAAATAATTAATTACCAGAATAAGATTTTTGGTCCTTTATGAAGAACATTATAACTCAACATGGATTTTTGAATTATCTTTGGCCTATATTGTGTTGTAAATTACACAAAATACGATGTCAACGACTGATTTTCGAATTCATGGGAGCCCCCTCCAAGATAGGCGGCGGCACCCCCTTGGGAATTATCCACCCCGTAACTGATGATTGGGTAGTTTCTTTATGAGCATTTTTGTTGTAACTTGCGATCCAAAGTGAATCAGATGCGTGATAGCTGCTATGGTAAAAAAATACAACATGACTGAAATGACAATATTGAAATTGGTTTCATTGAAATTAACAAAACAGAAATGGAAAGTTAAGAATTTTAATACTGTAAAGTATATTTAAAAAGGTGAGAGAATTACTTATCGCTTATCGGTTCAACCAGACGTGCCGGGCCGTTCTTTTTTGAATGCATGAGTGTACGGAACGGGTAGGGTGGGTATTTTGAAGGCAGTTTCAAATGTAGCATTTGAGAGAACAGTTCGTGTTGTACATAATTTAAATATCGTCTGCAAATTGATTTCTCTTCTGTTAATAATAATTGTTCGCGTATACGTTTAATTATAAAGTGCGATATGGGCCATAGGTGACCTCATCAAATATCTACTGGTTTTCCCGCCTCAATCACAAGTAAGATTTTTTTATACGTGCACATAATCTTTTTAACAAATTTATGAGCAAATTTAATTATGAAGGGAAATCGAAAATAACATCACTCGCTTTTTACCTCTTCTCTTAACGCTTTAGCCCCAGCCCCTTAAATTTTAAGCTCCATACTAGAGCAAGTGACATATAGAGTGTGTGATGTTCTCTGATTTGGTGGTATAATTTCCATAATTAAGCAAAACATTTTCTCTTGATTTAAAATGCGCTTAGAGGGTTGTTCGGACGATCATTATGCCTGAACAATAAAGGATTTTCCAATAACGATATGTTTGCTGACCTAAGGTATTATATTACTCAAAAACGAAGCTATGACTATAGGTAGATAGAGAGTAGATTTCTCTAATGCTAAACTATTTTCAAAGAGGTCTAATTGCGCTTTTACTTAAAAGAACTATATTTATTTTGATTTGACTGCCATTTAATTTGTATGGCGTCTTTACCCCAACTATCTTGAAACGAGCTCAAAAATTTTAATTGATGGTGAATCAAATAGTCGTGGGTACAATCTTTCTTAATCAACAGGTAGGTAAGTAACGGACTACCTCTAAACTTGAATTTACACAGTAGGCACTGCAACAGTCGGCGGGATGGATGGTACGGTAACTCGAGCGCTACCATGAGATTGGGAAACCCCGCTTCCGGAATGGTCTCGGGAGCCTCAGCTAATCAGACTTAAGAAAAGGCAATTCCAGGGAATGGGCTGTTTGTCATTATCGAATCATCTAAAACAGAATTACGGCACACGAAAATGGTAACGATTTCCAAAAGCAAGAACGGAAGCGCAACTTAACTAACGGTATGTAACGAAAACAAAACAATTAAAAGAAAGCAGCCCCCATTAACGGAATGAAAATATCAAGCGCTTATTACCTTGATATAGTACAAAAAAAATTGAACACTATGACACAAAAACCCAAAACGGAAAAAGATCGCCCTAAATAGTGCCGCTACCATAAAATCCCAAAAGAACTCTGACTTTCCAGCCGAGCCGCGTACTCGGGTGATAACTTTCAAAAAATTAAAATTTTAATTAATTACACGATTTCCTGTTATCCTAAAAATCTGGGACCCAATTAACGGAGCCGAAATCCCAAAATGTTAATTTTTCCCCTGCTTCCCTATACCGAGGGCTGTCGGATGCTATAAAAATAATTTACATATTTCTACGGGAACAATTAGAAACTTTCACAATTATGGTCGGCGGCTAGTTTTCCTTATCAGCGGTTAAAACTGCTCTACAAACTAAAACATTACTTTTCTCTTCAACATATTTCTTACTGCTAATAGTACCTTAAATGTATACATATGTGAGCCAAGGCTATATATACTTTTAAAAAACCATGTCAGTGCATGGAATAAATGGTTATTGGCAACCAACTCTACCTGTAATAAAATCCCGAAGGTGTACAAAAGTGAGATGAGCGATTGGCAATGTTTTTTCTAATCACCTCACCATGCACTTTGCCGAACGCGTATTGAATTCCCTTTGGGCTTATTTTAAAACGGGAAGCGTCGAGGGAACTCTCAATAAGCTCGAATAAAAAGGTAAAAAGCATAAAATAACGTACGCTTTCCAACCGTCGCGAAGCAGCTCTAACAGCAGCTTCCTTTTTTGCGTTGTCTGCCGTATTTATTTAATGAAACACTCCCAAACAAAAAAAGTGCTGCTTCCTGTAATTAGAAATAATGCGCCAATTACAAATAAGAGAAAACTCAGACTGCAAAATGAACGCGTTTCCACTTCTTTCTCTCGAGATACACGAATATGCACTGTTTTATCTGCGCCAGATGTGCATTTTCGTAACAATTAATTAACTTTCGCCTGGCATTAAAAATTCTTGTCGTAAATGGCCAGATGTTGCTACGTTTTATTTTGCAATCACATTGTACATTTAAATAAACATATTTAAATAAAAATATTCAACTACAACAATTCTAAAATGGGAAAATAACATTACAGAAATACAAACTCAAATGAAATAAACCAATTGTGTTCTTATTCTTAAATTATCCCCCGATTTACGTTAATAGATGAAATATTTCTCATACACAGATAAAGTTGTGCAAAAATTGGATCCCCTTAGGCATATTGAACGCCCCAATTTCTAAAAGTATTTGAAATTCCAAGAATTCAACTCTTTCTACAAATAAGGCTTTGGATTTTGTCTTTGACGCCCTTCCATTGGTTTGAGGTATTGGATTTAACAAATTGGGGTTTAATTCATGTGCAAAGGAATAGAATTCATTTTTTAGTTTGCACGATTTCTTTTCAATTGAGTTCGTCTTCTTAATTCGATTTGAAAATGCTTCAATCCAATGGAAGTTTGAGCTTAAGAAGACACAAAAATCTCAGTAGATGCATACCGGATGAAGAAAACAAAGCAAAATTTAATTTTGTTAAAACTGTTTAACGTGTGATTTAAAACTCTCATTGGACACTTTTCTGTTAGTAAATTTAAAACCAATTTGCACCAATTACTTTCTTGGCTGTTAATTACATCAGAGCTTAATTGAATTAATGTGTTGCATAGGAATAATCCGCCCCTTCAGTTATACGTTGAGTAATTCATACACAAAAAAAAAATGGCGGATTGTTAATAGCGGCGGGCATTAATGAATTTATTTGTTACTCAGTTGTAAACGTTGATTAACAAGACAAAACGCAAACGGGTAAACGTCATGTTTAAACGCTACTGACTTGTAAAACTGACAGCAGACTTGTAAAACTGACAGCAGACCTGTAAAAATTTTACAAGTTAGTAATCTAGTAATTTCATTGGCCAGAATTAATGCGAAGTCTCTGTTACATGGATCACATGATATTTTAGACATTTCTTCAAGATCAATTTAAGAACTAATTATTTACGTTTACAAATGAGTAACAAATAAAATATTGTACATTATACGCCAGGTAATAGTTTTTACTGGCTCTAGGAGATGACAGGCTCGCCTGACGGCTCGCCAGTCAACTTCTCCTATCGCCAGTAAAAACTCACTTACCTGGCTAATAATGTAAAATACTATTTCATTGCTAGTTATTTTCCTTCCACCATTATTAAACAGCTTTTGGGGATGTGGCTGAATTTCAATTTTGCTAAACTAGCATTTTCTCACAGCTTGATTCCCAATTAGCTTAGTTGCAAAAGTAGCCAAATCTCATTTACAGAGTGTAATTCAATACCGTTGTGGATTAATAAAGCGATCATGTGGCTAGAGCAAAATGATTGTTTACATTTTATTTTATGAATTTGAATTCCTGTCTAAGGATTTTAACTTCTTTCTATAAAGGATTTAATTACACTGAAAAAGCTTCGAGCTAGGTGTGGAAAGATCAAGCCAGATATTTTGGACGCCTCTGTAGGACAGCCATAGGCGTCCAAAGTCTCTGGCCTACCAAATAAAACTACTGAACCAAGTTCTCTTTCTTTGGACTACACACCAGCATACCAATTACTTTCAGCTCTAAAGCTTTCGCAATGGAGCTTAATTAAAAAGTTAGGATCTTATACTCCAAATATCAAGTACTTAAACATTCGGAAATCTTTTGATTAACATTTTGATTTCAATTTTTAATATGATCTACACTGTATACGCAATCCTTTGACACAAATTGGGCAGTACCATACCATTGTATACATATTTATTAGTATACAATGAAAGTACTAACACTGTAAAAAAACCTAAACAAAGTATGAAATGATAGCATCGGCAACGTTGTGTTCACTACTCTGTGGTAAATACCTAACCTAATTTTAAAGTACCTACAGGTACTAAGTCTATCACAACAATAACCACAGCTACTATTATTAATCTAATTAAAGATAATTATACAAGAGATATGCTTAATTATCTTAAATGATAAATTGAGCCTTAGAGAATTATGACTCAACGTCTAAAAATGAATTACAAAACATACGCATATATCACCTATTCATAAAAATAAATCACTATAGTCTTCTTTGCCTAAAATGGAATAAAAATGTCTTGAAGAAAGAAGGGATTTTCTTTCAGTGAACTTTTCGAATATGGCATCTTCAATGTATAGGTATTAACAAAAATGCTGTTTTGTACAATTTCGCCAATATCGTTATTACAGTAAAGTGGACGAGTATGGATTCGAAAGGCCGGAATCTTTCGATTATAAACAGTACGGAAACTTTCTCTCGCAATACATTGGGGTTTTAGCCAAACGCGCGAAAAGATGGGAGGATCTCAAGCCAACAGATAGATTTAAGAAGACATCTACGCTAAAGCGATTTGTACGTAAGGGGGTACCAAGCAGTGAGCGTGAGGCGGTTTGGATGTCAATTTCGGGTGCACAAGAGATGCAAAACGAGTCAATGGTGCAGTACAGCTCTTTGAAGAAATACATGGAGAATACGACGATAACAGAAATGATAAAAATTGATATACCACGCACATTCCCAGACAACATATACTTTGCGAATGACAGCATTCTTCCCGAGCAGCTGTTTAACATTCTTGCAACTTTCGCGCATCACAATAAAGAAGTGGGTTACTGCCAAGGTTTGAATTATATAGCCGGCCTACTGTTACTAGTAACAAAAAGCGAAGAATCTTCCTTCTGGCTGCTAAAGGTACTAGTCGAGCAAATTTTACCAAAGTATTATATTAGAAGTATGTCAGGGTTATTGATCGATCTTGACGTATTAGACGAATTCGTTCAAAAAAATGAGCCTGCCTTACACAGACATATCACAAGAGTTGGTATGCCATGGGCTGTTGCGAGTACCAAATGGTTCATTTGTTTATATGCCGAGGTACTGCCGACTGAAACGGTTCTAAGAATATGGGACTGCATCTTCTATGAAGGTTCAAAGGTGATCTTTCGAGTTGCGTTGACCTTAATTAAAATTCACCGGCAACAAATATTGGAGGCCAGAGATTTGGGTGAAATGGTCGAGTGCTTTAGAAAAATGGGGCAAAATATTAACGTCGTTAACTGTCATCAGTTTATGATTGTATGTTGATTAATCATTGGTTGTTTAATCGTGTCATCTTCTTTTAGGAAGTTTTTAAAACCCCAAGTTCATTCTCAAACCGCTACTTGGAAAAAGTTCGTGAGAAACACTCAGCTTTACGAAGTACCTAATGCTGCTCTCTCTCTGTCAACTCTAGTCTTGTTTTTAAGAATTATTTATTTTAATAATGTGTAATTTACAATTTTTCATTAAGAATGCTTTTCTAAAAAATCCTTTGCTTCGTTAATTTTTGACGCAATGTACGGTGATCCTCCACGATCCGGATGATTAACTGCCATCACTTTTTTAAAAGCGTCTCGAATTTTCGCCTTGTTCGCCGTTGGACTTACACCTGTAACAATTTCAAACTTGGTAATCAGTCTAATTAAATGTCACACAGACCTAATATTAAAGCGGCTTCTCTCCTATTCATTTTCGGATCAAACCCACCCTTATAATACTTAGAAGAGGCATCGAATTTGGGTAACGTTTTCATAGCTTCGTTGAATGTTTTTGTTACATTGGGCATTTGTCTCATAACTTGCCGACCAATGAATCCTACTGCTGCTAATCCGAGTCCTGCGAGTATTAAGCTAGAAGACTGGAATTTGTTGTTATTAATAATATCGATTTATTTTTATGCTTACCATGCCTAGTTGATTAATTTTTACATAACATCTAATTACATTTATTATTATTACGCAAAATTTAGGTTAGGTTGTTCTTAACCTTCAGAAGTTTGATTCACAATACAAAAAGTTTGACTGGTGTATACAAACACGTCACAATTCGTTGTATACAAAGTGAACCATCTAAATTTGACAAGAAATGCTTTCGCGGAACTGGCAGCGAGCAGTCCAGCAGCAAGATCAAATTAAGGCATTACATGTATACTTCGGTCGCAACCGACTGGGAATTCGTTAAACAAGATTAATACCCATGTTTTTGAAATCAATAAAATGTCCTGAAACCTTTTGAAATATTCACAATTTCCCCACCTATTTCTAACTGCTTACCTAGGCATTTCCTTTTAAATACCATCGGTATATAATGATTTGTTTTAAAATTTTGACAATATTTTACCCAAACACCAAGACATTATTATTTCTCAAAATTTCATTGTTCCTGATAGCAATACCCGATTAAACGTAAAAGGGGCTGCAATATGATAACAAAATATGGTTCCATTCATTAACTTCTATAACAAAAAGAGAATGCCCCATTGTTATTTCTTTTAATACTCAACAGTTGTCCAAAGAAATCGAGTCAATAAATTTGATACAATAGGTATTCGGCAATGAATTTGGTGAAAGCACCCATTGGGTTATTGTAAACCTGTCTTTTGCGCTAACACAAACATAACCAAAAAATAATCTACATAACCTTCATTTTTCGAAATTTTTGAGATGTTATTCAAGCGCAATTTATTTATTATTTCAAAATTACCAATCGTTAAAACTCGTAGTTGGTCTTCTAAAAGCATAAACGCTTTCTGCAATTTATTTGGTTCGTTTAATTGCGATACTAAACCAGCTTTTTTGAGCTGTAAATTTTCAGACTTGAGCAGAGGAGAATTTGACTCTTACAGAAAAGAGACTAATATTCCGTCATTAGAAGTCGAACATTTAAACGAAATTTCCAATTTGCGTGAACGTATTAACATACCGGTCCAGGAATGGCTCCTGTTTCCTAGCTTGTTAAAGGAAAATGCCAGGCATTTGGAGGAGTGTTATCTGCAACTGAAGGAAGGAGGATTTGAACGTATAGACGCGCGAATTTTAGCTAAGTCAGTTTGTACTGGAGTTAGTTTTAATTGTAACGATGGTGTTAGTTATAGGAGATTGGTGCAGAAATCTATTCGTCTTCTCAAAGCTGGTGGTTATCTTTCTGCACATGTTAGTGTAACTGAATCATTTCTGAAACATCTCAATCACAAGTTGTCTATTGAAAATTTAAGTGAGGAAAGCACCTTTCATTTCGTCTATCGAACTGTTTTAACACACTGCCTAAGTATATCAGAATTTGTACCAAATGTACATTCACAGTTTGCTTTTAGTGTCGAGGTTTAACACAACGCAAAGCGTAATTGAGAAATTTTTTAGAATGTACCCGATAGTTAAAATCAAAAGCTTCCAAACACACTTGGAAAACTTTCAACTTGCGGATAAACTCAATTTTCCAACTGACGATATATTTCAATGCGGTTTTCTGTTAAGTACACACCCCAAAAACACATACCGATTGCTGCGGGAGGTGCCAACTTTAGCAGGCATGGATATACATGAAGCGATCAGGTTAAAACCGCGACTATTACGTATACCTTCGAAGAAGATTAAGGAAATTTACAGATGCCTTCGAGTAGGTCCTCATTTAACAGTCATTGTTTATTTCTCAGGAAGCAAACATTGCAGATGATGTGATACAGCACCACCTTAGCATATTCTTTTTAAGTCCAAATACTGTCGCATTGCGGATAAAAGACGCTCGCAGCATTCCCGAATTTAATTTCTTTATCAACGATCCTAACTTTCTCAGGCTAATCATCAACTTTGGGGAAACAAGATCAAGAATAGCGTATCTTAAAGAAATGAAGATAAAGTGCACGTCACTCTCCGTACTTTGTAAGACTAATGTATTAATTTGAACTCTTTCTAAGCAAATTTAGTTAGGCTACAAACCAGAGCAGTTCATTGCGTTTCTGCAACAAGGCCTTAATATGCACCGTCACGAGGAGGTTACAAAGTTTATTCAACAGTTACTCGGAAGTCATAGTCGACGAATTGGTGTTAATTTAAAGAAGCACGTTCACCATCGATGTGTTAACTTAAGCCGTATAGAAGATAATTACGAGTACTTGCGGGAATTGAATTTCAGTAGGGAAGCTATTATAAATGCAATTCCGGTGCTTTTGTATTCACGGTATTTAAATTCCCAACGGTAGTAACTGTATAACTATTGGATCTTGTAGGGGCAAAGTAAAGGCAGCCTATGAAAGTGCCCGTGATTACCTGAAAGGTGACGGAACTGAAATAGAGCACTTAAATTTGATATTATATTTTATGGAACGTGAACATCATTTTACGGGAAATGGTATTTGGAATCATACCGAAAATGCGTAACTTATTGAGGCTGTAGTTAATAAAAGATTTTAATGCTTGGTTTAGTTTATTTATTTATAGTAGGGAAAAAGGCTGGGGGTTGTTTGGATAATGACAACAAGAAGTCATAGATTTCCAACACAGCACGAAAGATATAGGTAACTTTGGCAAAGATCTTTAATAAAATAATGATCGATAGCACTTTGATAGTTGTGTCCTAGTTAAGATAAATGGTAGCGTAAATGAACTTTAATATTTGGAGTGGAATCACACTAGACATTTAAAAATTTGAGCGCCATAGCATTGTAACTGTAAAATATGCCACTTGAGGGCGCTTCTCATAATGTTCCTTATTGGTTGCAGTCTGATTTAATGGACTGCGCGTGCTAATGCTAACCGCGAATACTGCAGGTGAGCGACAGGGGCAAACTAAGCAAGCGTGATAGACAGAGAGAGTGAGCTCGCCTCTTAGTTTGCCCCCTTTGGCTCGCTGCTCATTTGCAGTAGCCGCGCTTAGCATTGGCACGCGCAGTCCATTTCTATATGTCGATGCAACGGACGAGTGCGGGAACGTCGACCGAACTAGATTGTTCAGTTACAGGAAGTAAAAGTTTTTAATAACGACTTCATTTTTCACTCAACGAACGATTTTCATTTTTTTTTTAATATATAGGTACGTTTTATAATATTTATTACAAAAATAAGAAAATGGAGAAAGATTTTCGAAATAAATGTTGAAATATGCTTTCAGAAGGGACTTTCTTTCATAGTCTAAGGAAATATGCACTATAAAACGATGGTTCCAGTTGAGTGGTAAATGCAAATATAGGTACCCAATGGTGGCACGACTTTATTAACAAAAATGACATCTTTGCGCCGGTATGGCGGCTATCGGGGCCCGTCGCTGCGGTATGGCAGGTTGATTTTCGCGAATGACTGGTTGAGGACTTGATGCTCATAAAAAAATACTTTACTAATACATTTTTGCTCTAAAATAATTTGGGGAGCCAATAATTGCATGTTATGAATTTTACATTGAAATCCCTATGACGCGTTACGCAAGTCACCACCCTGTATAATTCGCATATTTTCCGCGCTATATTACTACTTCGAAATAAAAAAATGAGTTATTTCGGTCCACCCTAATAGGTATATCTACTTGGATGTAGGTGGAAGATCACTTTATTGTTTCGTGTATATTGTTAGGAGGTGTCAGATTTGTCTTCATGTGTTACCGATGGGTAAACCACTGAGCAAAAATGTGTACACCAGAATTCCAAGAGTGCAAAGTAATTCCAGAATTCCAAAAAATTCCATGAGACTTCCAAAAAACTGCCAAAACTGCAAAAGAATTCCATTGCATTCCAAAAAATTCCATAAAGAATTCCAAAGAATTTCAGTCACCTTCAAAAATAAATTATGCTCCTTGTAAAACGTATAAGGTACGTCAACACATTCGTATCCATTCGATTATACCATTGAATAATAAATCTTTATTCAATGATTATACCTAGTAAAGAGCAGTGGCGTACGTAGAAATGTATTCGGGGGTGAGGGGGAGGGGGGGTAAAAAATAGAAATTGGGTTGCAGGTTGCTGATGCTGGTAGTCATTTATCTATTTATTATTGTACAGGCGAAAAAGATTAGATTAGAACGGTATTTTATTTCTTACTGCTGACAGGCCCCTTTATTGCTTTTGCTTTAATTAGTCAACGAAAACTTTGAATAATAAGTATATTTATGGGCAAAAAACCAATTTCGACAAAAAATTCAAAGGGCTGTAACTTTTGAACTAGTAGCCCAATCTTGGAACTGTTTGAAATTATGGATTGTACAGGCCACATTCTATAAGAAATTTTTTTTCCCCGGGTCGATCTGAAACAATTTTTTTTCTGGGCAAAAAAAAAGGGAGTTATTACCTTCCTTTTTTACCAAAAATCGACTGCACCAAAATTTCTCAGGAAAAAACTTTTTCTTATTAATTTGGGTGCGTAGAATCCAAAACGATTCGTACTTTTTCGATTAGACGTCTCAATCAAAAGTTATGGGCAAAAAAAGTTCCTGTTTTTAAAATTCTTATTTTTGTCATTTCGTGAAAGGCAGGACGCAGGTACCTCACCTCAGTAGCAGTACTAAGTACCTGATACCTATTTGTTATTTTGGGCATCAATGTAGCGAATTGCCGATCGATGCCAAATAGCCAAATCGCCAACACTGATCACTCACTGAATAGTGAATACTGAATACTACAGAATATTTAGATTTTAGTGACTTTAGACTTTAACCAAAACCAAAATTGCTCTCTATATATACCTATATATTATTGCCTTTATTTTAAAGTGGGCGGAGCGGATAGCGGAGTATTACCTAAATACCTAATAGGTATGATAATAACTCAATTCTTCTGGGGGGGATATATCCCCTTCATCCCCCCCGTAAATACGCCACTTGTAAAGAGCATGTCTTTGTTATATAATCTGGATCCTGTACCTATTAGGTATATATTAGCATAATAAACTTACAACACGCAATCAAGTGCAACTATACAAAACCAACATTTGTGGCGTTGACAGATATCCCGATTACCCCGGATTCCCCTTTTCTCTCTTGCTAGTTACGAGTGTCAAATACAGCCAGCAGGCTTTACGCATGTAAGTGAGCATAAGTCGACACGAGTTTACCTTCTTGTATATCCGAAACCGACATTTAAGTGGCCATACTATGGGAGGATAAACATCTTCTTACTATAAATGATTTGCCAGCTGATGACAAAATGAATTTTTTGTCTACCCAAAAGATGTTATCTTAGTTATATTTGTACAACTAATTTTGAAAGCGATACCTTTTTCATGAATTTGCAGTTTAACTATTTATTTATTTATCATCCCTTTCTTGTTCTCGACCCTCAACAGGCTTGCGCCCAGTTACCTAGAGTGACCGCATAATGCTTTTTAGAGATGCCTGTGCAGAAGGTCTTAAGTGTTGTTCTACTTATAGGTACTACTCCGGTATTTACCATATGAATAGGGAAACTGCAGGAAAACCTATTTCGGGGTAACCAGCAGACTGCTCGAAACTGGTCTAAGGTAATTCCCATCTCTGCCACAGATGAAAAATTCACCTCAACCCAGATTTGAACACCCGACCTACGGATTTAGAGTCCAATGCTCTACCACTGAATCATAAAGATGAAGCCCGAGTTAATCAAGCAAAACACTTTCAAAAGGTGTTGTACAATTTTTAGCGCAATTTCTAACGAAGTTGGGTGCACTATTGCAGCCACTTTCTCTGTCTCTCTCTGTCCCTCTGTCCAGGGCCTTAAGTACTCCTACAGTTTTCATGATATTTAGTTCGTTCTTTTTGCATTCGGTAGCGTATAGCTCTGGCACCTGAGCCAATGAAAATCTTGACGATGAAACTGCGCATGCGCAGTGTCAATTTTCTTACTTATGGAGATATTTCTTTGAAATTTTTACCAATGATGCTTTTAGGAAAAGCAAACGTATCGCATATTATAAATATCAGAATAATGTGCGCATGCGCAATATCAACTTATTGAGATATTTTTGAGAATATCTTTTTGAAATTGTAATCACAGATGCTTCTGTCGTTAGAGGCAAACATGTCTGGTATTGCAAACATTAGATGTGCGCATGCGCAGTCAGTCAGTGCCAACTTCCTTATTTATGAAGATATTTCTTTGACATTTTAACCACATATGTCTCTATAATAGTACAAGAAAAACATAGCGCACATAACCTTGGGGAAGTACTGATCAATTTATGAAAAATACCATGAAGTTACTCGCCTTAAGGCGAAATCCTTTTTACTTGTTTTGTATAGTGATCCTTAATAACCGATAGTTAAATAATATCATTGACGTTTTGTTTTATTCTAAGAGACGTGTTAAGTAGGTATTAATGTTGTGAATATAGAGCATTTTACATATAATTTATTTTTTTACAACATTTTTGGAAACTTCGAGGGAAAGCAAGGAGAAAAGTTTACTTTTATGACTGTGAAGGTCAGTGACACAATATTTTAGTTATTTTTGAGTCCTACTGTTTGAACGTTACGTGAGAGCCGAGTCTTTCTTTATCATAAGTAAAAATAAATGAACAGTTACCCTTCGAATTCTACGACTATAATCTACAAACCAAAAATGTACGAATTGCAGGTAATTATATAAACATCAATAAAACGTAAGCCACAACCTAAACCATAGATTGTAAAAAGATTTAGAAATCCCTGCGAATTCCAAATGAATCCAATAAAAATTACAAGTTAATTCCCAAAGATTTGTATGAATTTCAAAAGAATTCCATGAATTCCGCCAGAATTCCAAAAGAGTTCCATGAATTCCATAAGAACTCCAAGAGGTTGTACACCAGAATTCCAGTGGTTTGCCCCTCGTGTGTTTCTCATATTCATAAAGATAAAAAAACAATTCAAAATATTCGTTACTTTATTATAAACTTATATAAAACGAACACTTATGGCATGATATTTCGTTACTTTATTATAAACTTATATAAAACGAACACTTATGGCATGATATCTTCTCATTTG